AGCCTTGGTTGGTTTTTTCTTTTTCTGCAGTTTCATTTTCCTCTCCATATATCAGCTGGACCCAATTTTCCACAGAACAGCTTTGATGCAGTGGGAGATCCCATTTCTTGATATAGTATTTCAAATATTGTCTGCAGGGAGGGCAAACAGCCTCTCAGCTTTGATATGCATTGTGTAGCCCATGTTAAAATCAGAAATAGGAGTCTTGGCCTTTTGTAAGCTGTGAAGATAAGCTCTCATTATTTTGTTTACCTCCAGGGTTCACAGAAATTATGCCTTGGCACAGCATTCCATTAGAAGGGAGCCTTCCCTGCTGTGAGAAAGGAGATCTCTTTCCAGTTGGGGAAATAAAATTGCTGGAAATGCAAACCAGTCCTCCTGACTACCTGACAGAAGCAGAACTCATCACACTGATGGAAAAGCATGGCATTGGTAGGTACTTGCTTAACACACGTTTATCCTGTAATACATCTGCTAAGAGGGCAAAGGATCTGAATCACCCCTCTGAACTTTCTCTGTTGGTAATGACCTTTCAGTATTCATTTGAATAAGTCCAGACATGATCTCTTTCCCATCAAACCACAATGCCTGTATCACCTCTTAGTGGATGGTAGATTCTGCTTTCCCCACATTTCGTTCATTTTGTCCTTATGCCCAGTTTCTGACCAAAGCAAAAACTGTTCTTAATCTCTCCTTGGCACTTCTGTGTCATAGAGAGCTATTGCGTGGAAGAATGTGCCTCCAGTTGTTAGCAATGGTTTTCTGTCTGTACAGTTTGCCTCAGTTTTGCTGGCTCCAATAGTCTTTAAGTATTTTATTATATAATTTATTACAGTATTATTTTTCTTTTTCAATCTGACTTGCTTCCTTCAATACATTTTCATAAACGTGTCCAGTCCATACAAACACAGTATCTTTTTTCCACTTTATTTTTCCAGAATAAGTGATTGTGAGAATAGCTTCCTTCCCATCACTAATTCCTTGGAAGAGATGAAAGGATTAAGGTTAAAACATGTTTCAGCCTTCTGAGAACTGCAAAGGAACATATATGTCAACAGATATTGTCCACCGGAAACTGGGTATTAGCAAAAAGCGGTCTCAGAAGTGCTGTAATATGACACAAAACCAGAGAAGTCAGAAGCTAGTAGTTCAGTGAAAACTTTGATGGGTTATTTTGTCTTCCTTTGTGTGGCAGGAACTGATGCAAGTATTCCAGTTCACATCAACAACATTTGCCAGCGGAACTATGTCACAGTGGAGAGCGGTCGGAGACTAAAGCCTACAAACCTTGGAATTGTTCTGGTTCATGGTTATTACAAAATAGGTCAGTTGAATGCTCTCCTCCAAATTCATCCTCTTACCTTTTGTCCCCTTCAGTAAGTCAGGGGCTTTTGTCATTGTATAAATAATGTTTGTCTGAAGAGATACCTCTGGGAAAGTATTACTAATTCTAAAATCTGTAAAAACTCAAATTTATTTTGATATCGTTTTATATATAGGCAGTTTCTTACTTCTGTTCTTGGTCTACTGTTGCTGCTTCTCTGCTACCGTCTTTGTTTTTTCTGGTAGATGCAGAATTAGTTCTTCCCACGATCCGCAGTGCTGTGGAGAAGCAACTCAACTTGATAGCTCTGGGTAAAGCAAATTACCACCAGGTCCTGGAGCATACCCTTGACATCTTCAAAAGAAAATTTCACTATTTTGTGGATTCTATTGCAGGTAAAACTTGTAGGAAATTTCACATGTACAACGACTACTTAATTGTTGTACTTCCAAATGAGGTTGCTTTTAGGGTTTTAGGCTCACTGAAAGTTGTGCCAGGACTGTTGCTTTACAAAGGAGATTTGATCGTGTCTCCAAAATTCCACTTAAAATTGGTTTTGTGACTGCGTAGTGGCTTCAAACAAGCTGAAGTACTTACTCTGCTGTGTTTGTGGATGCTTATTGCAAAATAATAACTAAAGAAAAAAAAGTTATCCTGAACAAGGAAGTGTAATGTGAGTAAACTACTTTAATTCCCACTACGTCTTCGCTGGTCCTGTAAATAGTATTGTGCAAAGTTTCCTCCTGGGGGGAAGAATTCTAACACAGATGGAATTCCTTTTTCTCCAGGTATGGATGAGCTGATGGAAGTGTCATTTTCACCCTTAGCTGCCACGGGTAAACCTCTTTCCCGCTGTGGCAAATGCCATCGTTTTATGAAATATATTCAGGTAAGTTACATTGTGTTTGGATTTTAAATTTCACTTGCTGGGGAGCAGTGATTAGAAACCCCCTTGCCGTTGTTCAGTGTGGATTCAAATGTCGTTGTCAAGAAAGCACTTCATGGGGAGGAGGGGAAAGGGTGAAGCCTGATGCAGTTTTTCTATGCAATGCAAATCAGAGTGGTCACTGCCGGATTTCCTGCAAGTTTTGAACTGGCCATACGGATGTTCTGAAGAGTTGCATTCTCTTTCCAGGCCAAACCAAGTCGTCTGCACTGCTCTCACTGTGATGACACCTACAGTCTTCCACAGAACGGTACAATTAAGCTCTACAAAGAGTTGCGTTGCCCCCTTGATGACTTCGAGCTGGTGTTGTGGTCGTCTGGATCCAGAGGAAAGAGCTATCCACTCTGTCCATACTGTTACAACCATCCTCCCTTCAGGGACATGAAAAAAGGTAAAATAAATAAAATGCAGGGGGTTTAGCTCAAATGTTAGTTATCTTTGTGAAAGTTCCCTGTGTATTTTCTTGAATATGAGAGGCTGCTGTTACTGCTTTTGCTACAAGACAGAAGAGAGAGGCTGGTGTGCTTTGAACTACCGTTCTTACTTCAGTGTTCCTGGAGTTTAGTGAAAGCTGCTTTTGTCGAAATAGCAGCATTTTGGGCATGAATTCAGATGTTAGAAGATTAGCCATTTTTTGAATCCATCTTTTTCTAAAAGGGCTGATGTGGAGCATCTGGAGAAACACTTTAGAGTTGGTCATGCAGCCATGTCTTACAGTTTTTAGGAAAACTCTTACTCAGAATGTTGAATAAACCACAACAGATTTTATGAAGAAAATACAATATTAACTGATCTACATTGCACAGTAGGTGACCTTTCTAATGTTTGTTATATGGATGAGACTATAGATTAAGGATAGAGGGGGAGAACTGTATTTTGATACAGGGGTATAGATGGTACGTTAGAAATTATTGAAGGATATAAGAAGGGGTAAAAATAGCATAGCAGTTAGTATAGTAACTGTGAGATCAAAAGCTATTTAAGTTAATGCTTGGAGGCTTTGAATGAGTGGCAGGAGCTTTCTGACGTCTTTTTTTTTTATTACTGTCTTCTGATTAAAAATGTCTTATGCTATTAGCATACAGTGTAACTGTAAAGAGCAATTAGGAGTCATACATTTAATTGAAAATGTTTTTTCAACACTTCATATATCCAAACTATGTGCTGTACACTGGCATTGTCTAGGAGTCATTGTATGATTGGGAGCAAGGGGTTATTCTGAAGAAGTGAAAAGACAGGTCTCCTTTTGGAGTTCTGTTCTGTTGTGCAGTGGTTTAGAAAATTGGTAGCATACTAAGCTGTCTTTCAATTCTGTGTCTCACTTTCTGCAAACTGAGCAGCGGTAATATAGAGGATTCCACAGTGGTATAGTTTCACTCTTCTTCCACCAGGAATGGGCTGTAATGAATGCACCCACCCCACATGCCAGCATTCTCTTAGCATGCTTGGAATTGGGCAGTGTGTTGAATGTGAGAATGGAGTTCTGGTGCTAGACTCAACGTCAGGTCCTAAGTGGAAGATGGCCTGCAACAAATGCAATGTGATTGTGCATTTCTTTGAGAATGCCCACAAAGTCCGAGTGTCACCAGAGACCTGTGAGTTGTGTGATGCCGCTCTTGTGGATGTAGATTTCAACAAAGCCAAATCTCCTCTACCTGGTGATGAGACCCAGCATTCAGGCTGTGTATTCTGTGACCCTGTGTTTCAAGACCTGGTGGAGCTGAAACACGCAGCCATGAGGCACCCCATGCACCGTGGTGGACAAGGGAAAAGGCAGGGTCGAGGAAGGGGAAAAGGGCGGAGGCCTGGGGGAAGACCCAACCCAAAGAAACCCAAGGACAAAATGGCAGCTCTGGCTGCTTACTTTGTATAATGGTCACACAATGCAAAATAAACTTCTTATAAAAAATTTGTTTCTGTTGCTGTCATTGTTTCCTGTGCTAAGGCGAATACTGTATTGGTATGTGTTGTGTTTCTGGTTTTAAGTGGAAGAGTAGCAGTTCTCTGCGGGAAGTTGGTGCTGGGTGGACGTAGAGAGCATCAAAATGCGGATTTTAGATCTGATGGTTATGTAGAAGGAAGAAAAAGACATCTGCTAGGACTCGTGTCTGTCTGGGGCTGGTGATGCTCAGGTGTGACCTTGCCCTTTAACTACAGCTGCGTATCTACTTTTAACTGCATTCAACTTTTAACTACAAAGTTTAAAAGCATTGACCGCTTATTCTTTCTTTTCAGAGCTCTGCGGTGATTGAATAAGCGGGAGGCGGGCGATGTGAGCTGGCTTTGGCGATAGGGGGTGGGGGGACGGCGAGCAGCGCCGCCAGCGGAGTGAGGAGGGGAGAGCGACGGCAGCTGTCAGCGCACCGAACCGCAGCCGGTGCTTCTGCTTCATTCCTTGCTGGAAACGTTCCGTTCTAACCGGGTACCGCCAGAAGCCTTTTCTGCGAGGGAGAGGAACCCTACGGCTGCGTCTGAAGTGAAAAGCTGCTGCAGGTTGTGCGTGCTGAAGCTCCCTCCGTTGGGTGGACGCGCCGTTACCCGCGCTGCGGAGCCGCCGGCCGGGCTCCCGTCTGCCCCGCGGGAGGAGCGCCCGCCCCGTCCGGCCACGTGCCGCCCGGCCCCGCCCCGCCCCGCTTAAAGGCGCCGTCCGGGCCCCGCCGTCCACTCCCCTCCCTTTCCCTCCCCTCCCCGCAGCCCCTCGGCGCTCGCGGCCGTCAGCGCGGCGCCGCCATGGCGCTGGAAGCGGAGGCTGCCGGGGCTCCCCTCGGCTCCTTCCTCAGGGACTTCCCGTCCGCTCTGGGCCCGGGGGAGCCGCTGCCGTGGAGCTCGGCGTGGAGCGGCGCCCTGAGCGAGGCCGAGGCGCCGGGCGCGCTAGCCGAGTTGGCGGGGAACCTCCTGGGCGGCAGGTGAGCGCGGGGCGGGGCGGGGCGGGCGGGGCCTCTCTTCAAAGGCCCTGAGGGAGCGCAGCCGCCTCCGGGCCTCGGCCGGACCCCGCGGGGCGCTGCGGCGCCGGGACTCGGCCGGGCGAGGCCTCGCGGTGCGGTTCCCGGCCCTGGAGGGGCGGCCTGACCGCGTCCGGCTCGGCGGGGCCGGGAGGAGAGAGGGCGGGAGGCCGGCTCCGTTCTCTGTGCCTCGGTTCGGCCGCGCCGGCTGTGAGTGCTGGGCGCCTTGTCCCTGTCGCGGCCAGAGGCGGCGGGCGGTTCGCCGTGGCCGCTGTGCGCCCTGGTGCCGCTCCGCTGAGTGGCCCGCTTAAACCCGAGGGCGACAAACGCGTCAAAACCGCACTTTCTGTTTGAACGTTTTCATTTGTTTGGGAGGAGAACGGTCGGTGTTCCTCGGCTGCGCCGTGACCGAATCGCTCCACACGAAGCAGGGTCGGCACTCGGTGCGCCGAGCCGTGCGGGGCTGCCGGCCCTCAGCGCCTCGCGGAGCTGCCTGCCCGCCGCCCCTCGCTCCGGCGCGAGCGGAACGGGGCTGCAGAGATGCAGGCTGCGTTCTTCAAACCGCAGCGACGGTTGCAGTGGTGTTTCTGAGTTACTCACCTGCGTTAAGAAGCGAGAACAGGTAGAGCGCTGCTCTTGCGATACTTTCACCTCACCTGTCGCTGTTGTGTTTACGGGCGCAGCCTGCCCTGTCAGAGCTGCATTGCTCGCATACCTGCCCTGCAGCGCCGAGCAGGCAGCCTGCTTAGTGGGGCTCCTGAAGCTGGCAGGGAAAGTGTAAGCAAAGGGGGAGGTGGCTAAACAAAGCAAAACAGAATAAAAATGTAAAGATCGACTTACTTATGCTCCTTCTCACAAAAGGGACTTAGAAAACAGAAATACCAAAGGGTAGTGTTCTTACGCAACTCTGACCATAACATCGCAGTTACTGACTGAGCTGAAGGCTCGAATTTTCAGTCGGGCCAGAGAAGAAGACCACCTTTCCCATGCAGCACGATGGCTCCAGGCCCTGCAGCAGTTGGAAGACTGTAGAGTGCATTGCTGGTCTTGGCTGGGCTGTCTTACCACACCTGTATCCCTAAGGCTGCACACTTGGCTTGCATGGAAGAACCGGGTGTCTGGAGCTGACCCTCTTGCTTGTCTTTGCTAATCTAAAATGAATTATTCTATCTTCTGCAAATGTAGCTGGCACTGTGAGACAGGCAACGCTTTTGCTTCCTGACCAGGTTTAATGTCTTATCTACTGAATATTTGCAGATACTTCTACTTCGGATAATTTAAATCAAGGAAGTGCCTGCCTCATACAGAGTTAAGTACTTACATAGAACTCCTAGGAACTGGGCAAAGCAATCCTCTTGTTTTGCAGAATTTTTATTAATACTCTTCTGGCTAAGAGCATGCCTTACCACAACCTGTGAAAATGGATTGATGTGAATGAGAATTTAATTATTTCTAAACATTTAGAAATTAACCTAAAATTTTACTGTCCTGTACTGAAACAGAACACGAGATGTAATCTTAGCAGGAATACAGAAATGTTTCCTTTGCCTTGGTGGAAGCTGAAGACCATCCCATGACACAGCGAAAGAACAATGTGGGTTTCCAGCAGGCTTCCTGTTTGAGCAGACTTCACTGCAATAACAGCTGTGAGCTGCAGCTTTCCGCTGTGACCCTTCCTGAAGCATTTGCCGTGTTTCGTCTCTTAGCTGCCTCAGCATCCTGTTCGCTGTCTTTGTGCTTTGCACTGTAATGCTTACACCTGAGGCATAGCCCTGGTGTATTTGTTTTCAGCAGTTCTCTGCTTTTAGAACTCTTAATTTTGCAATTCTGATATTTTAACGTTTTTATGTGATGTTCACGTGAAGCTGGGGGAGGGATTTGTCTTGTGTCTGATTTACTCAATCTCTTCTAAGAGCAACCTTTATTATCCTCCTCTCTGAGCACTGTTACTGACCCAGCATTTAATGAATCACCCCACGCTTACTTTCTCACTCTTGGTTTTGGACAGCGTATGTTACCATGATGCACAGAGTACTGCTCTTTGCTAGGAACGTGTTCATGATCTCAGTGATCCATTTGCTTTGTGTGAACGCCTACCAACAAACTTTCTGCTTTTCATGGGACCAGTTGTGCTCAGCTGTGAAAGCAGGTGTGGATTAGCAGGAATGCCTGTTTTCAGGAACCACCGGTGTGCGCATTTGTTCATGGTTCGTAGTGTTATGGTTGGAAACCTTGATGAGATCAATGCACAAGAGGCATGTAGTGCTTTTGCTGCTTACTAGTTGATTTTGTAAATTATTAACAAATAGAGTCTAGGAATTTTGGGTGATGGTCAAAACCAGCTTGTTCTGTGTTGCAACTGAGGCCTCCAAAATAGCAGACAGGGAGCTGTTGGAGAGGGTCCAGAGGAGGGCTGCAACAATGATGAGAGTTTGGAGCACCTCCACTATGAATGCAGCTGAGGGAGCTGGGCTTATTCAGCCTGGAGAAGACAAGGCTGTGAGGAGTTCTCACGGCAGCCTTTAAAAGGCGATTATAAAAAAAGGAAAGGAATAAACTTTTTTCTTCAGGTAGATAGCAACAGGACAAGGGAGAGTGGTTTTAAGCTTAAGGAGGGAAGATTTAGATTGGATGTCAGGGGGAAGCTCTTCAGAGAAAGTGGTGAGGTACTGGAACAGGCTGCATGGAGATGTTGTGGATGCTCTGTCCCTGCTGGTGTTCGAGACCAGCTTGGATGGGGTCCTGGACAGCCTGAGCTAGTGCCAGATCTGGAGGGTGGTGGCCCTGCATGCCACAGGGGGGTTGGAGCTTGATGATCCTTGGGGTCCCTTCTAGCCCAAGCCATTCTATGATTCTGTATCTGGAGGAGAGAAACTAAAGTCACAGACTGGGGAGAAAATACTGAATACAAGCAACTATTGTTTATCGGGAGATCTTATGACCTGATGTTATTTCAGCAGCATCAGAGACCTGCTAGAGAGCTGCTGGCATTTGCAGATCTGCATTAAAAATGCTTTGCTGATGCAGTTGTAATGTGCTATAAACACACCGAGTCTGCAGTGCCAAACTTTTGCTTCAGTGGCAGAGCTGTACTGTATGTGCTCTTCTGGTGTTACAGCTACCAATAGGAGCAAAAATAAGTCTTCCCTACTGCTGCTGCCTGAAGCTAGAAGCGTTTGATGGCAGATTTAACATCTCTTTATCACACAGCCTACATCTACCTCTCTCTATAGCTTTTGTGTGTGTATATATATCTGATTATATAGATACGCTGAAAGGAGGATTGTACAGTGGCAGCCCTTTAATATTTCATCTGTAACTCTTTTTTTTCTGTGAAAAGTGGCAAGTGGTCTTCAGACAGCCACTGCAGTTAGCGAGCTCTTGTTGTCATAAAGAGATCTCCTGACGTGGCTGTGGAATAGAGCATGTCGGGGAATGTGAATTATTTTCCTCCCAAGAAAAGGGGAAAACATTCCGCAGGCTTTGTGTAAGCCTTGGGTGCTTGGTCTGTCTCCATGAGGCTCGTAGCACCCTGCACTGGATCATGCAGAGCTTGCTGCTCTGCTCCAAGAGCAGCTGTTTGGAGCCTGCCATCTGTTGCAGAATGCTGCTTTCTCAAAACTGCCACAAGCTGCAGGCACAGAGCATGACAGAAAGCCTGTGTGCGTTTGCAGGCCTCTGAAAGAAACGTAGTCGGAGCTGAGGCTTTACTCTTAATGCTTTTGTCTATTCTCAAGTCTTTAAAATGAGGCTCATATTTTACCGTGGAGTAGCTGGAGGATATGAACTCTGTGCCCCAGCCACTGGTGTTCTGATTTCAGCTGGCATTGAAGCTACAGTGCTTCATCTCCACTGTTACAACATGCATTAATTTTCGTCTAAATTTTTACTGTGGTCAAAACACACCCTTTTTGTCAGCAAAGAAATAGCCCGTAGCAGAGGAATTCTCAGGCTGTTTACCACCAGCCTGTGTGGGCTGAGGCTTCGTAATTAGAGTTGTGTGTGTCACAGAAATGGTATTGTCGTATTTCTCCTAAGGCTTTTAAGAGGATGTTGCTTCCTTCCATGAAACATACCCCACTGACTTCCCTCTTCCTCCCAACATGGTTATTTTCTCACTTAGGAAGCAACTACAGTAGTTCTTCTGATTCATGAAAACTGAACTGTGCTTGGTTCAGCCTGTCAGCAGGGTGTCCTGGACTGCTTTGAAAGGATTTTGACAAGAAGTGACGGTCTTCTTTGCTTACAGACAAAGCACTGAGATTTCTTATTGTAACTGCAGTGGGCTTCTGCTTCTGCAGTGGTTGCCATAGGTACTGCCTCTGCTCCCAGCCATTCTCCTGCTAAGTGAGACCTTGGGCTCTACACCGAAGAAGCAGTTCTTACTCATCTTTGATTATGTATTTTGTTAGCTCTTGAAGCTCAGCTTTAGGGGCTGAGATTAGAACCAGTAAACATCTAAGCTGAGTGGAAAACAGCATTGCCCTGGAGCCCCATTTACCCGAGCTTTATTAAAAAGCAGGATTACAGGCATGGTAGCACTAACACTGAGAGCTTACAAAATAATCAGGGGATGTGTTCTGTCCAGAGCTGAGGTTTGACTAGATGCGCAGGATCATGATTTTTTTTAACTGTTGTCTTCTGCTGGTCCATGCGAACCAGCTGCATTGGTTCTGTAGAGCAAACAGATTCTCAGTAAGCAGCCTTTTTCTTTTTTAGATTTGCAAAACTGTGGAGATGGACAAAGAGAAAATATGTAGGAAGTAAAGCTCAATGAGATGTATCAGTATTGAGGAATCTCTGAATTTCCTTCTAATAAACTGGGTGGCATCTGGACAAAGTTGAAGGATGTGACATAATAACTTGTAAACCTTTTCTTTGTTGCAGGCTTCCTGTACAAAGAGTTTTTACGGGGCTTGTGAATTATGGCAATAAGTACCTTGCCTTTTGGTTAAGGGTCTTCTTTGGGACCCAGTACAGCAGGCCAGGGCTTTGTAGGAAAGAAATTGTCTCTTCAAAACGTATTAGTCTTTTTTTCTTTTTTAATAGACCAAATTTCTGGCTTCCCACGATGTGGGATGACTGCAGGTAGTGCTGCAACAACTGCAAACTTGTTGCCATCTATCTGAAGTACTGAAATGACTCATTAAAGTAGGCCATCATTGCACAACATAAAAAATGCTTCTGTTAGCAACCTGCTGACTAACACAGTGCTTTCTGTTTGCTGCCATGGGAGGTGCTCATATGTGGCTGGCTGTGAGAATATGACAGAGCCTGTCTTTCAGAAACAATGGCAAAATACGTTTCAGATTGTTGTCACAGGGATCTGAAAGCTCACAGTCTTCCCCCAGCTCTTCTGCCTCTTGTCTGCGTTGAACCTCTGCAGAGCCAGTTGCTCCCACCAGTTCTTATTCCCCAGCTGGCCGATGTTTTCTGGCAGAACAACATCTTGTCCTTGATTTGCTGCAGATGCCTTAAGGTGTTATTTGCTTCGTTTGCATAATTTGTTGCTTTGTGGGCATCAAACACCCCATGAACAAAAGATAAAGTTCTTAATATGAATGTCTGCTTATTTTTCTTTGTGTCCATAAAAAATGTCTGGAATGGATGTCATGTGCTGTAACTGTTAGCGTCAGCCACAGGAGTAGAGTGAATATAGGAGTCATTTTCCAGTATCGCCCTTTGCACCTTTTTCCTTGGAGAAGGGTTTCTTTGGAGACCTTCCAGTCAGAACAAACTGAGTGTGAAGAGTTTTTTAGGTTAGTACTGAGCGTGGCTTTCCTCTCGGAGGGAAGGGAATTGGAGTCCAAAGTAACCTTTTTGGGAACCACCGCACGGAGATCCTGCTCCTGCCTGCGGTGAGGCAGTTAGCTGCAAACAGGAACTGTTGCATAGTGAGTCCCAACAGCAGGTTTGTGCTCAGAGCCCAGAGCTGAAGGTAGCCATTCCCATCTGAGGGCTCGAGAGTATGGGATACCATCTGCGGCTGAAGCACGAGGCAGCGGTTTGAGAACGTGATTCATGTGCTTCCTCCTCTTTGCCTTCTTGAGAAGGTGTTTGTCTAACTGAAGATCTTTCTAAGCATTTATACGAATAAATATCAAACATGGTTTGTTCTGCTCGTTTACTAATAAAGTTGAAATTATTGATTGAGTACATGCTCTTAATTCTGAGTTGAGGTCAACAGTCATAAACAGTGAGGCTGTAGTTCAGTCTAAACTAACACTGTTCTTCTTTCCCTTCCTTTTGTTACCGGCAGAGGTGTTTCACCACCCCTTGCAGCATCAGTGATCCACACTGCAGTTGATGAAGTTCTCCGAACAGACTTGACTAAATTTAAGAGGCAAAGTGTGGAAAGACAGGGAGAAGGCGAGGAGGAAAGATTCACCTGTAAGTATACTTTCTCCTTCTGTGGTTTTCTCAGAGGCTGTCTGTTGGAATACTTCAGTGTTTTGAAACGTTTCCCAGAATATCTGGTTAGACTGTCTGGTGAGCAGCACTGAACAGAACTTTATTTGCCCCTGCCAGGTATTTGTGGGAAGAAAGGTAGTGACGCTGGTTTTGTGGGCAAGATACAAATGTGCTGTCTGGAGCCCTGGACTTGTTGCAAGAGTTGGTTTTCTGGAAAGGGAAGAGAGTTTGTCTTTCCAAAAATAATTAACAAGTGAACGTGTCTGCAGTGCTTCCTGAATTAGTTAGTTAAGAACTTCTCACACAATGCCAAAAATCAAATCATTCAGTCTGATGAACAGTAAATTTGGATAAATTGATCTTTGGGACCAATCCAGAAATGGATTTGAGTGTCTGTCTGGAGCTTTTTGCACTATGCTCAGTGGGTCTTTACATTTTCTGCTCTGTCATGACAAAGCAGGAAAGTTGCAGGTTCTTTTCTGTCCCTTCAGCTTTTACAGCCCCATGTGTTTAAAAAGATAAAAACAGCAGCTTAAAATTTGAATCTGCTCTGCTTGGCTATGAGTTGAGCTATTGATCTCAACAAAGCTTACTCTTACACTTTCTTGTTGTTGTAGTGGAAGTGGTTCAGTAGGACATAACCCAATGTCTGGCTAATGGTATTTCAGTGCTTGTATCCAAGAGAACAATCTGTTATCCAGTTGGTTGGATTTTCTGCCTACTTGATCTGTTTTTTGTTTTTCTTTTTGAATAGGAATGCACTTCTACCACCAAACGTGGTGTGTTTCACTTACATAATATCATTTGTGTCTAGTTTGACAGACAGATTTTTTTGGATCCTGTTGGGATTAATTTTTAATGTAGTCACTTCTGTGATAAACCCATTTTTGAATGAGAGCTATGAAGTACCCGAACCTTTCCTTATCCTGAACGTTACACTGTTTTCCAGTATTGTCACCTTTCATGTGATTCTCTGGAGCCTTGCAGAGCTTGTAGAGGCAGAGTGCTGAGTGCGTGCATGTAGCTCTAAGGAAAGACACTCGAAGGAAAGACAGGGTAAATGGTGGGGCACGACTTACTGTTTTGTCTTTGTGCTGTCAGTGCTGGACGGAGAGTCGCTGCAGCGCTGCTTCTTTAACAGACTTCGGGATGTCTGCTTTGAATGGCAGAAGCAGTCGCCACCGCTGAGACCACTGAAGCGTTTCCTGCTTGTTTCCACCCATGCCATCCGTAACACTCGACGGAAAATGGAGGACCGCCATGTTATCCTCCTGGAGTTCAATCAGCTGTTTGGCTTAGCAGTAAGTCTGGACAGCGCTGGGGAGAGCAGTTCATTAGTTTTTCAACGTTGCAATAAGCACAGTGGTCTAGTGATACGTGATTTGTGAAATGGTGAGGATTTGCTGCCATAAGGTATTTATCATGTCTGTGCTGGAGCAAGTACCTACTTTGTCTGCTAGGGGCTGATTAACCTAACTAATGCCCTGATAAAGAAGGATCTTGTGACTTTAGGTTTCGTGTCGTAAGCGTTGTGGAAATATTGAAAGTTATCTGTCACTATGTTGCTGGAGGTGTGGTGTTTTTCTGACTGAGGTAAATTATGTGTTTTAATTAAAAAAAAAAAAAAGAGGAGTTAAACAAGAACAAATGCCAATAAAGAAAGCTGGAGTAGAACTACATAATTAACTCTGTACTGTTTCAATTCTAGAATTTTAGGATGTTAAATTACTAAGATCTACTAAAGAAAAGTAATTCCCCTGCGGAGTACCCACTTCATCCATTTTGCACGTGGCTTAACTGGCTTAAATTGTCCTTACCTATGCAACATCATATGGAAGAAAGCCCAGAACAGAACATTGCTTGTGTTACTGCTGTAGGAGCTATTTTATTTTTGAACATTTATATTTCTTCCTTTTTCTTCCTCCCTGGAAAAGGATGACATCGATCGTGCTTACTTTGCAATATTTGATGGCCATGGTGGAGTGGATGCTGCCAATTATTCAGCAACACATTTACATGTAAATGTGGGGCTGCACCAGGAGATTGTTAAGAATCCAGCTGAGGCCTTGAAATGCTCTTTCCAGAAGACAGATGAAATGTTTCTTTTCAAAGCTAAAAGAGAGGTGAGTGGGTAGAGGTTAATTCCCTTGTATTCAAATAACAGTAAGAACTGTTGGACAACATGGTATTATCCAGAAAATTCTGTCACTATAGTATCTTTGAATTATTTATTAAATAATGCTGCAAGAAACTGTTTGATCAAATTATTTCTCTTTTGAGGAAAAGCGAAATGGCGGTGCTTGCATGTGGGTGATCAAAAATAAGCATTAAGTGTTCTAAACAACCAGTTATTTGAGAGAACATTGCTCTCTGCCTGAATTAGGCAGTCTCTAGGTTCCATTGTCCTACTCCTTACCTCAAAAGAGATTTCATCTTCTTCCTCATTTTTCCTACCTTTAACGTAACAGGTGACAATAAGATAAAAGTGTATTCTGTAATTGTAAAAATGACCTAGAACAGGCTCTTCAGGTATTGATCTGCCTTGAATCGAGTTGGTATGATGAATGTTTTTTTTTGTCAAATCTACAGAAAGGAAGGATGGTTTATTATAATAGTGTTGGTAGTGAGAACTCTTGTTACAGCAGTAACTAATCAGTTTTGGAACTAATAGCAGAGAGGGAAGATAATGAAAAAGGCAGTATGAACTATCTGCATACTGGAATAAATAGTTTATTTCACGTGTATCTGTGTAGATCTTTATGCATCTGATGTATGTAGTACCTTTTAAAATGTACTTGAATTATGATCACAGGTCTACTGCACTGCATTTAAGTTTTATTAAATGTAAGTTTGTAGTTTTGCTATGTGTATGGGAACTGCTGAGTCACGGCCTGAACCTCTGACTGATCACCTGAGGCGAGCCATGAGTCCGCCAGAGGAGCACAGGTGAAGGCAATTCAATTCACCTGTGCTGCCGGAAGGGGTGGAGCCAGGCTGCACCTCTCCTAGACCTATTGAAGAGCTGGCTACCAGTGGGGAAGGATCTCGTCTGGAGATCCCTCCTTCTGGTGTTTTGTGGTGAGCCTAACTAAGGGTAAGCCTTCCATTTATTCTCTTTTGTTATCATAATCTACTTTGCCTAACTCTCTCGTTTATTTTGTGATTGTAACATCTTAATATCCATTGATTATACAGCTATGTAACCTATTTGTTGGATATTCACCTAACACATCCTTTTCCTTCTGTAGAGGCTGCGGAGTGGCACAACAGGTGTATCTGCATTGATCGTAGGGAACAAGCTACACATAGCATGGCTAGGGGACTCGCAGGTAATGCTTGTGCAGCAAGGAAATGCTGTGACGTTAATGGAACCTCACAAACCAGAGAGAGAGGTAAGTCTGAATCTTTGATTTGTTTTTCCTTTTGCGTGTGCTGTCAGAATCTCTCTGAAACCTTTTGGAGCCAAGCGTTGAGTTTCATGATCCGCATACTTTCTGTAGTGCAGTAGGTTTTTGAGAATGATGATTCCATCCACTCCTGTGTTACGAAAAGGCAATCTCTAATCCATGACGCCTTGAAAGTGCTGATGGTACTGGTAGTCTTAACTGAAGTTCCTATGCAGACTGTTTTTCCAAAAGACACTTGGTATAAAATGTGTATTTTGCTGTTTTTCAGGATGAGAGAGCACGTATTGAGGCTCTGGGTGGATGTGTAACCTACATGGACTGCTGGCGGGTTAATGGCACTTTGGCTGTTTCCAGAGCAATTGGTAAGCATCAGCACAGTTCAGATCAAGCTTTATTAGAATGTACCACCTGAGACTGTATAACTAAGTGACATTTTGCTCAGTGTTGTTCAAATAGTGAACCACTTTGCCATGAGGTTAGACTATGTCTATGTAACTTTTTAAATAGTTTATACCTATCTAGTCTTACTGCTTTTACCATGAGCATGGTATGCTGTTCTGTTTTACATACTGGACATGACATTCCAAAGTATTTAAACCCTTGGCTTCTTGAAGGTTTCTGACACTGTTCTCCATTGTTCTACAACAAACTTAAGGGTATTTCTTGTGTTCAAGTGGAAGAAGTAAAAAATGTTTATCCAGGCTTCTTTGTGTTTAAATATGTTGTATTTTTTATTCACTCTTGGGTACAACTTTTAAATCAGATTGCTGTGTTCTACCTTGAATTCACTATTTTTCACTGTTCCACTCCAGTATCAGATATGTCTGGAGTATGATCTATCTGTCCTCTGGGGCACTAAAAGCAATTATGGGTGAAGAACTGTTCGTACTTGAAGTAACGAAGCCTTTGTTTTGATCATTTGTCTTAGGTGATGTGTGTCAAAAGCCTTACATCTCTGGTGATGCAGATGGAGACTCGTTTGACCTGACTGGTTCTGAAGATTACTTGCTTCTAGCCTGTGATGGATTCTTTGATGCTGTCAAGCCATATGAGGTTGTAGACTTAGTCCTAGATCATTTAATGCAAACCAAAGGAGTGGGTCTCAAAGCAGCAGAAAGACTGGTGGCTGCTGCGAAGGAAAATGGATCCAATGACAACATTACTGTTCTAGTGGTGTTCTTGAGGGATCCACAGGACATCTTGGCAGACTGTCTCAGAGACACTAAGAGCCTTGAGACTGGGGATGATGCTCGGAGCTCACCCTTTAATTTCCTCAGCTGTGAGGCAGCAGCCACACAGTGACAAAATCTGCTTAATCCAGAAGGTTTAAAAGTTTGCTTAAGGAACTGCTTTCCACTGAAATAAGCCTCTAATACAATAGGCAAAATGCGTCAGGAAAAATGACAAATGGACAAACATTTAACAAAAAGGAAAGTCTCCTTTTACCGAGTTCCCATTTGTCTTTTCTTTCTCTTTCCCTCCATTCAAAAAACCCTGGAGAGCCATGGAGATTCGTACAGCTCTTTTGTCTGTGAGAGTGGAATTCTAAAACACGTCCCAGGACTGCTGCCATATCCTTCTGCCCTGGGGTGGCAAAAAGTGTATGTATAAGCTAGTGGGTGAGATCCACCATTTGTGAATTCTAAGTGAAAATTTGAAGTAATGCTTCAAAAGAGTGCTCTGTGTTCCATTTGTGATATTGCTTTGGGAACTGGGAGTAGAGAAGCTATCATGAAAGAAAAGGTTGTTACTTTGCATAGTTTGTAGGAACAGGCTTGATAGCACACCATTATGCTATGTAGGTTACTTTTGTTTTGTACCAAAGATGATGTTAAGAGAACGATATTGCCTCTTTCTTCAGGCAGAAACATTTAATTTTGTGTGTATGGAGATGGGAAAATGGAGCTGAATGCTCCAGTGGCAGAGCAAAAAAGCAACATCCCAAGCTACTTCCTGGGATGCTATGGTTAATAAACTGGAATCCAGTATTTAACTGCACTGGATTATTTCTAACAAAAGTGTTTATTGGCTGTCTGGCAGCCTGAAAAGAAAGGAACCGTATTGCTGTATTTGAGAGAGATCTTTACAAAGTTTGTGTGCTCGTTAAATATGTTCTGTTTCTACCATTTTTCTGTGTACTATAACAAATGCGATTTTTATTTTAGCTTCTGAAACTTAGAGTGGAAGATTTTTTTTTTCTTTGCAGTGTTACTTTATTTTGTTATGTTTTATTTAAATTAGAATTTTAAAATGGCATCTTTATTACCTGGTTTTAAAAACTGACTGTCCTCAAGTGCCTTAAATATTTCACACAAGGATTGCTGGCTTCTCATCATACTCTGATGAGCCAGTTTATAGTGTTTTTAAAATGTGACTTTATTTCATTAATATTAATGTGTGATGCACTTAACTCTTTCACTTTTATTAATGATTTTAGTGGGAACAGGGTTTCAAGAAAACATCTCGTTTGTTGTTGCCAAATTGCATAACGCGTGACATAAGCTTCACAGTACTTACTGTGACTTACCCCTGCCCCATGCATAAAGCTCTGGCTAGGTAATCGTGAAGTAATAATCTGATCTCATTTAATTTCATTTCATTTAAAAAGAAATACAACTTTCCGAAGAAAATTTGGTAACATAAACTAGAAACATTTCAATAATCGTTTTTTGTTACTAGATGATTGATTTTGCCATATTTCTTGGACTTTGGGAATCTAAATAACTTTTTAAGGAGATGTGAAGTTAAGGTAATGATGAAAGAGTCCTTAATGAATGTGTGTTTTGTTTTGCAACTGCTAGATCCATTACACACTAGAGCCCCTGGCCGTGTTTGCTCCTGCTTTGCTAGCCTGACTGGCAGAACTCAACAAGATCTGAAGGCTCAATGGCAAATGTGTTAGTAATTTCTATACCTAAACAAGAAGTGCTTTACATCTGGCAGCAAGATTGTATGCCTAATTTAGAAGCACATGATGTTGCAGTATGTCAGTGCTGTGGATCAAAATGTGTTGAAAAGTAATGTCTCTATGGGAGGAAATTTTAGCTAGAAGAGTTGAGATGGCTGAACAAAGAACAGTAGAGCTGTTTCTGTCTGTGCTGTCTCTGCACCATCAGCTGGTGTGGGCAGTGCGGTCCTCGAGTGACTGGAGCCTTTGTTGGGTTATTAGGGACGATGGTAGCGTTTAACACAGTAACTCTTCTGTGAGCTGCCATCCCTGTAGCAGCTCGGCCTTTGTTGTTTTGCTGTGCAACGACAGTAGCTTTTCCAACAAGGTTGTAACCACTTCCCCATCCTACATTTTACTGACCTAAAGTACGTGACTTCTTTCTGTGAGGGTAACCTAGTAGGGTAGGTGTTAATTTTTCTGTGAGCCTGCTTTAGTTCAGGAAGCCTTCTGTCTTGCATAACATAGTCACTTTGCATTTGCCATCTCCTATTGCTATGATTTCTGACCTAGATATTCAGAGTCATGCTAAATTCTGATGACCGCTGTGCCTCTTGGTGTCTTGGAAACAAAGTTATTGTTGTTAGTATAGAAAGAATAATACAGAATTGTTTGATTTCATAGCTGTCAGGTGAGGAGGAAGCTGTTCCATTCATGAAGGGAGGTGTGACATTTTGCTAAGTTCGTGATATGGTTCACTCTGAAATTGGTCAAGTTTCCCAAAACATGGAGGATGGGGGGCTGAACAAGTCAAACTCTCAGAAATGATCCTTTCATTTCAATCTCTTGGTGAAGATTTACTATACTGTAGAAACAAAGTATTCCAATGTGTACTTACAGCTGTGTGAGAATATCCAGTCAAATTTGGAGCTGGTTTGTCTGTTTTATTGGAGGCTAAGTAAAACGCACCTCTTAGAAAAGCTGTCTGCGGTAATCAGAAACCTAATTCTCAAGCTGTGCTTTAGGAGAGAAATTATGCATTCTTTCACTTGTGATGTTAATATCACCTCTAGAAGCCAGCAGCTGTAATGCACAGCACTGTTACAAGGAGTGCCAGCAGTGGAGCGGTGCTCTAGCAGAAGATAGTCCACGCTATGGACAAAATACAGAGGGTGCTACGTTTGGTATTTTAGGGTTGTGGCGTGTGTTTTTTGTTTGCTTGTTTTTTAGTTCACGGTGCTAATCTGCTACGCCTGCAGCTTCTCGTATCATCCCTCTCAAAAATCCCTGGATTTCAGGCGGTGGGTTTGATTTGCTTTTTTATTTAATTTTTGTTCACTCTCTTGGTTTCAACACATAAAAATGTTATGTAATTCGAGTGAGGAAATGATCTCACCTCTCTAGGCCTTACCAGTGTACTCAATGATACAACAGTATATTAATGCTTGTCCACCAGTTGACAGTTTGCCTCCTTGTTTGCTGATGAACGTGCATCAAAACCAATACTTGAGTCTTGCCAAAATCTCTGAAGCTGTAGAAATTAGCTGAAGCATTCAAGACAAATGTTCAATGAAAAATTGTTTTCATATTTTACTAGATTTCAGCTGGCTGTCTGCTGCATTTTTAGCATGCAGACCTAGAAAGCTGCCCCTGAGAGGAGCCAGAATCTTTGAAACGCAGCATGCTTATATTCTCACATTGTGCTTGGTTGAAAACTGGCTTTAGCCATCCTGCTTAGTGGGTATACAATGTCTCTTTTGATTATGGGTAATTCACACTTCCACCTTTCTTTCCTTTCCTACCCTGCCCTCTCTGGCAAAGAAATGTACCTGGGATAATGAAGTCTTGGTCTGACACAGATGAGATTACAATTTTAAAGATTACTTTTTTTGTTTGTTTGTTTTTCTTCCTAATACAGAAGATAGAAAGGCAGGAAGATTTTTTGAACTGAGAGAGATTAAGTAAAATCCACCCTGTAAGTGATGGAGGGGTGAAAAATAGAGAGGAATGCATTTAAGTATTATTAATGCCTATTTTAAAAAGGAAGTGGGCTGGAATATAAAGCCGTACACGTCAGTTCTTTGGCGTGAAGTACTAGTGCTTGAAAGGATTGGAAACACAGGCATTAAAAAGGCAAAACTGAGATGTGGCAGCTCTGGCTTCAAACAGTCAAGGAAGGGATCGCAGTGAAAGCATCCTGAGTGACTTACTCTGACCCCTCAGTGCTGTCTTGGAAGTTAATGCCACCAAATTAAGTTTTAAGGTGTCTTCACATGTAAAGTACTGCTAAGAGGGGGCATTGGGTGCGTTCAGTCACTGCAGCTGCTGCCATGAGTAAGGATGTGAAGCGTGCTAACGAAGTGGTGCTGCTGGTGAGCTCTCACAGGATGAGTAATTGGGCAGAGCTGGTGATTGAATCATGTTAATCACAGTGATGACTTTAATAGTGTTTAATAGACACTTATCTCAATTCAAAGTCAGAAGCGATATTGCTGTTTTTAAAAGCATTTCCAGTGCTATTAGCTTTTTGTCATGAAAAGCCAATGGAATGTCCTTTTTGCTTGTTGTTGAATATTTGTAAAAGTGCTTCTCTTGCTTTCCGAATTCTGGAGAGAAGTTAGCTGTCTGCTATGGAAAACCTGCTCTCTGTTGATAGCTTAAAGCAGCTGTCTGGGGGTGAAACTTCTGTCCCAGCAATCTTTAAAAACAAACAAAATGTGCTTCCAAAACAAGTGGCTGAGGAACATATGCATTTCTAAACAGTGTTGCATGAGAGACCGTGTCTTTAAGGAACCAGCAAATACCTTCCATTCATAGAGAGTCAGCTAGTTGAGCTGCTTGAAGCCTGAAGTAAGATTACAGCTCTGCTCTCTGTTTATGCTCATTATTTAGCTTACTGGGATTCTTGTGAATGCAGATACGTAACACACGGCACCAGACATGGTATACGTCTGTTCTCATAGTACTGAAGTATCAAGCAAACTCTTAAAGGAGAAGGTGGGGCAAATATTAGCCACAACAGAGCAGATTGCAGAGGCTTCACATGCTGTCTGTTGTGCAATTGGGCCTGTGCTGTCAGACAAAATCCCACTGGGACGTAATGGGCCGGTTCCCTTTTTTGAGGAGCAGACAATTCCTGATAACCAGAATGTGTTTCAGGAAGGGCTGAAGAGGGAGAAAAGCTTTGAAATGAGCGCTAAACTTCCTCATCTACAGCATTTGTGTATTCTTTCTAAACAAGTTTATGGCATGTTTGCAGTTGTGCTGAAAAATGATTAATTTTTCTGCCAACCTAAACTGACAGCACCTAAACCATGAGGCTGATCCTCCCTGCTTCCCTGAATCTAGCCACCAGAACAGCCAGCCCTTCTGTGGGACTGCTTCATAGCACTGGCAGCTCTAAGAGCTAAGCCCACCGCTTTGTGCTCAAGATGTGCTTGTTTCTAATAAGTTCATTGGATCTTATTGTAGGTACTTATTTCTGTTGATTTCAGCCACATCAGCTGAAAAGTAATCAAATGGAAACAGCTGAACACGTATCTGTCGTAGACACTTCTCAAAATACCTTAAAATAAGCTGGTAGACTCCCGTCATAACCTTCTATTTCCAAATAAAACAAGAAGCCAAAACCGCACAGAGAACTGCTTATGTCTTTGTTGTGTGACCCACTAGGCTGGAGCCCGAGCAGGACGAGCCCTCCCCTGGGTGTCTCGGTGTTGGTGGTTCAGTGTTTTCCAAGCAGAGCACGCTGCTGCTGGTAGACACAAAGATAAAGAAAAGACAGCTGTGTTGGCGGCATAGAAGGTGCAGCTTTTGTCAAATAGAAGAGGAGAAAATCAATAGGGAAATAAATGTTTTCAAGCTTCTTGGAATGCAAACAGTGCAGTAACAACCTAGGAGAGTTTGCCGTGGACTGACAGCTTAAAACCTCAGCAGACGAATTTGGCTGCTTTGTAGTATTTTGCTTTATTTTGTTAACAAACTCCTCTCAGTCTTACGTGCTTTTTAGTCTGAAGAGAGAAAAAATATTCAGCTGCTTAGAAAGTTACATTTATCTGGGCTTTGTGACCACTCTACTGGAGAGAATATTCAGTAATTGTATTCTAAACGATTAGCCTGATTCCCGTGAGATATTAATATATCAAGTAATGAACACAGTAGAGATAAAATGTTTCTGGGTATCCATGCACAAAAACCATGATCTAGTGGATCACTTCCTGATTTATTATCATCTATGTGGCAGTGCCTTCAGCACATGGAGGGTTTGTCGCTTTAGCAGATGGACCTTGAAGGTGTGATCGTTGCTCCCAGTAGGAAGTGTTTATCCTTTTATGTAAGGGATGATTGTTTCTTTTGGATGTGTAAAGGCAAAGAGAAACTAGAGAGATCTTAAGGGGACCTTTTCAGGAAATGAGATGCAGCAGCTCCTCTTCCTCATGTTGCTCTTTCTAGTGTTAAAAGACATTCTAATAATGATGATGAATCCTGCTGTCTTTTATTTCTTTTTTTCCTCACCTTCAGTGTGTTTGAAGGACATCCTGTTTAGTAATAGACAGATGTTTATTTTGTTGTGGGTTAAAATTTTACGTTGACAAAAGAGGATATTGCATTTCTTACTTCCTCTTCTGAAAGCCAGTCCTGCTATCTTCCTTCTTCCCAGTTTTCCTTTTCTTCTACCTCTTACAGCCTCTTCCAGTGTCAGTCCTCCACTGCCTTGTCCCCCTCCCAGAAAACCACTGCTTAATCAAAAAACAATATTGGCTGTTAAATCAATTTGATTGCCTTTTTGTAATTTTAATTTTGTCTGTGTTATAGTGAATGTGGTCTGATCTTTGGAGGCCTGCAACACCAAGAGTATAGAAGGTACCATGTCAGCTAGGAAGGTATGAGACTAGAACAACTCGTACTTTTGGCATTGCCCAGTACTGGCTGGTTAAGAAGAAAATCCTGCTATTTGCATGCTATTTCCTAGGAATAATTGAGCTTTTTTTCAGGTAAGAGTAGCTCTTGTCCCAGATACAGGGCTTGAGAGACTTTCTAGTCTCCGGTTTCTGCTCCTGCAGGCTGTTGGTGTTTTCACCCTTTGCACTGTGTTTAAAGGAGGCTTCTGAGTTTCTCCACTGCTTCAGTGCTCTCTGTTTCCTGCCCTAGTTGGTTTAGCAGACAGGCTGGTAACTGCAGCATGGCACGTGGTTAACCAACCTCTCTGTCAGAGTACCTCCTCAACATCTGCTCTATTATAGCTTCAATCCTTCGCTTATTTAGAAATTGAATTTCTAAGTAACTACTCCTGCTGACACAAAAACATGTCCTTATCAGTATTAAAATAGTCCACAAGCAGAACTGTTGCTTTAGGCACATTTCTTGCCACTGTGTTGGCTAATGAACCTTGAATGAAAGTGAAATGGCCAGTGAATTTGAAGTAGGAGCTGTTAAGCAAGTGTTGTAGAGCTGTAGTCTTTATTTATTTTGTATATTAATCTGCACTTGTGACACAGAGCAGAAAAGCTGCAGCACAGCAGATTCTATAAGCTGTGACTTAACCAGTTTCTAGTATCTTAAAACTCTTTATTTAAACTGAGTGGTTCTGCACGCAGGTCAGAAACCTGTTGTCATTGATCCTTACATGCTGTGCGTATCGTGTGTTTGTTTATACAGATTGTTCTAACAGCACTTGTGTGTATTGTGCTACATCACCATATTTTATATATATTTGTATGTATGTATGGCGTGAGGTTTAATTGTTGGGGTTTTTTTGTATTGTCACTTTTGTATTCACACAGTGCCTCATGTATCTACTTGCATATGTCAAGAAATTGCTTCAAAGCAGTGACTGGAAACAAGCGAGGAGAAGAGCTTTTTGCTGTGGGATTTGATGTTTCTGAGGTGTTAATAAAGCATACTGATTTCAAGTGTCGTTTGTTTCTTTTTTCAGTGTATTTTTTTCATTTTTGTCCTTCAAGTAACTCGATGCACAGTGGTCATATTGCATTATCTTTGAGGGATCTTTCTGTCATACTGATGATCATCACCAAGTCCTTTCTTCCATGGGGTCTTTACAGGAGGAGAGACTAGCAGAAGTACTAGAAGGAAATAAGCCTGAGGATCACAGAGGATGCTTACTTGAAAACATGATGCTACTAAAGCCATCGTAAAAATCACCTGTGTACCTTAATTTGTTGGTCCCTTTTCTTTTGTTTTTCTTTTGTTTTTCTTAGCAGCTAACAACAGTAGTAGTGCGAGGTAAGTTTGGCCTACTACCTAATGTCCTACAGTAATGGGATGAGGATCAGAAAATCCCTGTTTCAGAAGAGAAAGTAACAGTTTGTTGCTTACTTGTCTACCTGTTAAAGAAATGATCTGAAAGCATGTAGGATTAACTTACTACAGTACCGAGATAACTTCCAAAATATAAGAATAGCTTGGAGCTATATAATCTGTTATGGTTTCTGAAGTGCTGGTTTTCATTTCCTCAGGAAAGGAAGATGTAAGGACAGCAGGACAGTGATAACACTTGCTAATCTGAAACAACTCGTGGGAATCTGAAGTATGCAGCCTTTTAGGCAGTTTGCCTAAATGCAATTGTATTTGTCTTAGTAAAGAAGGAAAATGAAGTCTAGTAAGAGACCAGGATGCTGTATCAGAGCAAAGCAGCAGATAAGGTACTTCTTGAAATACAAAAGTAAGTATTGAGTAGATTCTGTTTGAAGTGCTGTGGGCATGCTTGAACATACTTCAGATCAAACCTTAGATCTCCTGAAAACACCTTCCATTTTGTGGTTCTGAATGTTGGGTTTCTATTTTTTTAAATTATTTTCTTAGTAAGAATGCCTGTGAAAATGCACCTTGTAATAGTCTCAGAGAAGTAGTATCTCCAATAGATCATGTGTTCAAAATGGAGCTCATAGCCAACCCTCTGCTCTGGAATACCATTTTCCACAGTACTCCACTGCTGGTGGATTTTAATACAAAACAACCAATGAGCCCATGAAAATGAATGTAAAACTGTGATTTAAAGCTATAGTAAGTTAAACTTGGATGTCAATTGAGATTCAGTGCATCTACATATACATCTCATGACACAGAAGCATTATCACCACCAGCTGTTTGACCAAGCAATAGTGATTATGTCCCTTTTAACCATTCCCATTTAATGTATGTTTCTCTGCAGTCAATTGCAGAAAAGCCTCCTGCAGCTTGTTTTCCAGGCTGTAGGAAGTACTGAAGAAACGGTGTTGATGGGGCAGATGTTACCATACCAGCCTCTATTGGAGCCCAGTTGTTACAAATGAGAACTACTCACTCTTTGCAGAGCAGATCAGCTGACCTTGACTAGTACTGACTGTCATCTCGGTTCTTTAGGAAACGTTACTGGGATTTGCTAAGCAGAAATCAATTCTTCAGCTCTACCAGATCAGTCTGGAATTGCCTGTTCCCTACCCCTGGGAAGCAGAATGAGCAACTGTTTCATCAGAGCCTAGAAGAACTTGAAGGGATGCGGGATTTCCTGAAGAAAGGCAGGAGATTCTACATTTCTATTCATAGTCAAGCACCAGACAAAAATTTCCCTGCATCTGGATCAAGATCTTATCACCCTACAACTACCTGAAGGGAGGTTGTGGTGAGGTGGGGGCTGGCCTCTTCTCCCATGTAACTAGTGATGAGAGGGAATGGCCTCCAGTTGTGCCAGGGGAGATTCAGGCTGGAAGTTGGAAGAACTTCTCCAAAAGAGAGGTCAGGTGCTGCAATGGGCTGCGCAGGGAGTGTGGAGTCACCATCCCTGGAGGTGTTCAAGAAACGTTTAGATGTTGTACTGAGGAATGTGGGTTAGTGGGGAATATTGGTGGGAGGTGGACAGGTTGGACAGGGCCTTAGCTCCTAAGGTCTTGGCAGATGCCTTTTAATACTTTTTAGCTCCAGCTTAAAAGTTCTGTAGTTTGTGTTTGCCACATTCTCCCGTTACTATGTTGAGCTGTTTGGAAAGAATCTTAAGTTCTCATTAGAATAAGAAAATATTTAAATCTGCAGCTGTTATCAGGCACTCAGAAGTAGCTCTTTGAAAGAAATATTTTGAACATGCCTTGACAAATGCAAACCTGCTTGCTGTATGTATGAAAGAGTTCATTGTGTGCTCGAGGCATATAATAAGGCAAAAACAAGTATTTTGTGTAGCCTAGAAGAAAAATCCTAACTATGCTGTGGTGGGCCAGCCTAGCTACAGCACTTGAATTTTCAGTTTGGTGGATGTCCTGTATACTCTGAAAAAGATTGCACAAACAGTAAGGAAAAGAACAACCTTGACTTTCCACGCATTCTGGGCCGTAGAGTAAGCACTTCCAGGAAATAGCTTGTAATCTTCTCCTGTCCAGCCTGGCTTTTCTGCACAAATCTGTGGTTTCGGAGTCCTCGTGAGTGATGTAGACCCGTCTGGTGACCTGCTGGTACCTGAGCGCCCTTCCAGGGCTTTGTGTTTCTGCCTCTAGAGGGCTCACTCTTTCCTTTGGCCATTGCGAAACAAGGGGCATAGAAGATACGTGACGCTGCTCAGCACCGCGAGCTGCGCGAGGGAGCCCGCGGCGCGCCGTGTCATTCCCATCGTATTGCAGATACCGCTGGAAAGCTGAGCCGGAAAAAAATTCTTTGCATTGCAACGCCTTCTTTCCAACTGCACATCTTTTCAGAAGTTGCGGTGATTCTGACACCAATTCTGTGTTTTGTTTCCTTGCTGGCTAAAATTCAAGTAGTTGGTTCAGGCTGGGGTGCAGCCTGTCCTGCACCATGGCCAACAGCAGTAATCTGGGGAGAGTGCAAAAAGCCAGGAGAGAGGTAATTCGCACAGGGGGTGGGGTGAAACAACAGTGTGTTAGAATAATGTTCTTCTTTGCATCTCTTAGATGAGATTTAAAAAAAAAAAAAGTCATTGTGTTTCTCCTTATATGAAATATAAAAGATATCTGTGTGTGTGTGCTTATCAGCCTATCTAAGAGACCTTTCTTTTAGTTGAATACAAAAGCAAGTTCTGGTGTCAGCATAGGGAAAGAAAAACAACAGCGCAACAATGGAACAGGAGACACTTCAAGCTTTCTGTATAATTAATTACAGTAATTTAAAAATCTTGTGCAAAGTCTGTGCTTGAAGAAGTTCTAAGTTGCAATTAAGCCAAGCTGCTAGTGATGGATCTAATTGTTGGGTTACATACAGGCACAGGTGACACAAGTCGGGCCGCTGACATCAGAGGTTTCACCTAATTGCTTTCTGTTGATGCTTCTGATTCCACACAGCTGTTCCAGCAGCTGGAATGACCAGCAGGAGGTGAAGCCTGGATGACCATCAAGAGTTTGCCCTGGCAAACTATAAACTGTCCAACTGCCGCGGGGCTTTAAAGGTACCACGTCCTTACTCTGGCTCTCCAAAGCTTCTGGGGGACGCTGCTTCTTTTGCACCACCCCCGTTGAGCCCCCAGTACCAAGGGACTTGAGACGGGAGAAAGAATTAGATGCTGAGGTGGCTCTGCAAAGTATTCCTTTGTGTAATGGCAGCCAGGTGAAATCTCACATTTCTGAAGAAATGAAATGCAGTTGAGGCAAAGGTAGCATTCAGCAGTGTCGTCAGGCTTTGTTGTGGTATTGGTGAGCCTGCTTATAAAATAAAAGTGGATCCTTTCTTCTTCTCTCTGTTCCATCTTTCAGAGGACTTTCTTCTCCAAAATATTAGAAATGTTGCATCATACATGGAAGGACCTTTCTTTTACTGCAATCTAAGACTGAATGCCTTGACTGATAAAAAGATACCAAAATAAACATCCAATCTTGGACATTTACTATTAAGGTTACATTTAAAGTCTGAATACAGAGTGTGTGGAAGTTTGCAGCCTTCCTGCTGCACAGGGCAGTGTGTAAATACCAGGGGATCTTGAGGAGAGCATTTATGTTCTTATTTTTGGATTGACATTAAAAGCTTTGAAGAGTAATTTCATCTAAATTTATTTTTGCACTATGTTCTTTCTCATTTTAGCACTGAAAAGGCTTTTTCTGTCTTAATTGTAGCATCTCCATTTTGTATTCCAGTTTTGTCTGCTTTCTGAAGTGTAGGAATTAGGGATCTGTACTCTTGGTCTTAAACCTCTTTGTAACTTCTAGCTGTTACTTATTTGTTCATTTATGTATTTGGTAGTGCTAGATAGAGATGAGAAAGTGGCTAGCTTTTGCAGAGTAAGAAAGAGAGGGTCCAGCAACTTTGCATCTTTTAAGTAGTTTAAGGAAAGGCTGATGGATAAAAACCAGCAGAAATACTTATGAAAGCTGTTCATTTCTTCCCTCCTCACTTCTTGTAATGATATTTTGCAAAGGCTCGCCTTTCCCCTCAGACAACTGTCTTTCTAGTATTTTCTTGTTAATGAAATTTTAAGTCAATGAGCTGGTTCCCAAATAGTAACAGACCAAACCAGGATGTGCATTAGCAGGCTAATGGCAGCCACCCTCCCTTGCTGAAGGCAGTGTGTCTCATGGCAGTCCTCTAGGAGTTGGCTGCATCGCTCGGAGCACTTAATGTTGGCTCTGCTAAAGCACTTCTTGTCCTCCCATCATCTCCTTTGGGAAACTTCTCTGTTGACTAATAGATCCCACTTGTCAGGAAGCCTTTCCTGTTCTTCAGTCTTACTGACCTCAGTTCCAATACATCTAACTGTAATTTCTTTGACTACTCTTTAATGAAATATTAATAAAGAGAGGCAAAAAGCCATCCCATTTATATTCATATAAAAAATGGAAACTAATCTGTAGTTTGGTCTTCACTGTAAGACTTGCAGAACTAACTGTTCAACAGTAGTAGTTAAACGCTGCCTGCATATGTTTCAGGCTGATAGTGGCAGGACCTGAAGTTGGCTTGCATAAATCCAGCTATAAGTAAAACT